AATTCAGCAGCACATATACTAGAAAATGAAAGGAATCAATAGAATGGGAGAAAATATTTGCAAGTTATGTATCAGATAGACATTTGATACATCCCCGGGTGTGCTGAGCCAGCCATGGAGTCCAGGCACGGTGGTGCACTCCTGTAATTCCAGTACTGGGGAGGCTGAATGTGTAATCTACAGAGAACGTTTTCAATTTAGCAATACAAAGACAAACCAATTACAAAATGTGCAAAGGACTTGAATAATTTGGAAGTAACTGGAATCCTAATGCAGTCCTAGTGATAATATAAAATGGTACAGCTGCTGCACAATACATTTTGACATTTCTTCAAAAAGCAAAACACCCCATCCAAAAAAAAAACAAAAAACAACTTAAAAAAAAAAAAGCAGAACAAACAAAAAGGCTGGCAAGATAGCTCAACAGACTAAGCATCTGCTTAGGCAAGTGCAGGGACCAGGGTTCAATCCCTATACCACATGCTGTGCCAGCCCTGTGCCATCCCTAGGTGTGCTGAGCCAGGTGTGGAGTCCAGGTGTGGAGGTGCACTCCTGTAATCCCAGTACTGGGGAGGCTGAAAACAGGAGGATCACCATGGGTCTGAGCTGTGTAGTGAGACCCTGAACCAAATACTTTTTAAAAAATAATTAAAAAAAGAAGCAAAACAGACTGAGCATTGTGGGTGTATTCCTTTAATCCCAGCACTCAGAGGCTGAGGCAGGAGGATCACTGTGAATATGACACCAGCCTGCGTTACTACGTGAGTTCAAGGCCTGTCTGAACTGCATAGCAAGGTCCTGTCTTGAAAAGAAAAGAAAAAAAGTAAAACCATTACCATATGAATTACCTTATGACCCAGTAATCTCACTCCTACATGTAGATGTATCAAAAGAAACTAAACACATATCATTAGTAGTAATAGCCAAAAAGTCTAAATGACACAAATGTATATTGGCTGATGAATGGATAAAAAAGTGAGATGTGTCTGTTCAGTGGAATATTATCAGTCCATGAAAGGAAAGTACTGATACAGGCTATAACATGAATGAATCTTGAAAACATTGTAAATGAAAAAAAGACATAAAATATTACATATATTATTCTATTTAAGTGAAATATTCAAGGGCTGGCCGAATAGCTCTGCAACAAGGCACAGGGACTGGGGGTTTGATCCCCAGGCCTGCGGTGCTGGCCCCACCACTGGGGCACGCTACAGCGGGAATTGAGCCTGGGTGTGGTGGCGTGCTCCCGTAATCCCAGCATGTGGGAAGCTGTAAACAGGCAGATCACTACGAGTGATCTAGTAGTGAGACCCTGAACACCTGTAGACCCTCCCCTAAAATATAG